CAGTCCATCAGTTCATTATATGGAGACCACCTGGCCATTGAACTACATGGGCAAATGCAGGGCATTAGGAGGCCTGCAAGCCAGAGGTCTGGCATGAGCAGCAAGAGAGAGAGCACCGAGAAAGAGAACCTCCTTTGTGCAGGCATTAAGTATCTCTGATTTTGTGCCCTTGTACTGGCTGTGCCTATTCTGGCCAATTATCTGTTCCCAGGTGTGACTGACAGGCAAGCACCTTCCCACATCACCCACACCTTACTGGGCCTGCGTCTAAACTGCCTTTGTCCAGTCCCTTCCCCCGGTTTGCAGGGAACAGACCTGGAGAGTGTTAACTGCAGCTTCCTGGCAAAGCAGTACAAATGGCATGCCTGTATTATCTGGTCTTCCTTTCACTTTTCCTGATACATAATAACCAGATTATTATAACTTATCAGTTCTATTTTTAATTTTTTGAGGAAGCACTATAATCTTTTTCTGTAATGACTGTACTAATTTAAATTTCTTTCAGAAGTGTACAAGGGTTCCCTTCACTCCACATCCTCACCAACACTTGTTATCTTGAGTCTTTTTAATAATAACGACTAGTACCCTGACAGGTGTGAGGTGTTATTTCTTTTTTTTTTTTTCAGCTTCATTGAGACATAATTAATACATAAGTTGAACATATACAACCTGTTGATTTGATACACTTGTATATTGCAAAATGATTACCACCATAGCATTAGCTAACACTTCTATCACATCACATAATTATCATTTCTTTTTTGAGGTGAAACATTTAAGATCTACTCTCATAATAACTTTCAAGTATATAACAGTATTATTAACAGTATTTCAAGTATATTAATACAGTATAACCACCATGCTGTACATTAAATCTTCAGGCTTATTTGTCTTATAACTGGAAGTTTGTAGCCTTTGAACAGAATCTCTTCATTTCCCCCACCCCACCTCACCCTAGCTAGTGGTAACCACCAGTCTGCTCTGTTTTTATGAGTTCAGCAATTTTAGATTTCACATATAAGTGATATTATGCAGTGTATGTTCTTCTCTGACTTATTTCACTTATCATAACCCCTCAAGTTCTATCCATGTTATCACAAGTGGCAGGATTTCCTTGTTTTTCATGGCTGAATAATATTCCATTGTCACATATACATTTTTTTTCTTTATCCGGTCATTTTTTATATATTTTATGGGCTTTTATATATTTTATTTTATATATTTTATTTAGAGAAAGAGAGGAAGAGAGAGGGAGAAAGAGAGAGAAATATCAATGTGTGAGAGAAACATCTATCAGCTGCTTCCTGCACAACCCCTACCTGGGATCAAGCACGAAACCTGGGCATGTGCCCTGACCAGCAATCAAGCTGACAACCTTTCAGTGCACAGTAGGACACCCAACCTACCGAGTCACACCAGCCAAGGCTCTCCAGTCATCTTTTGACAGAGGCTTAGATTGTTGCCATATCTTAGCTATTTTGAGTAACGCCGCAATGAACATGGAACTTCAAAAATCTCTTTGAGATTTTATTTGTATTTCCTTTTGGATAAATACCCAGAAATTGGGTTGCAAGATCATAATAGTTCTATTTTTAATTTTTTAAAGAAATCAAATCCTGTACTGTTTCCCATTGTAGGTGCACCAATTTACATCCCCATCAACAATGCACAGCCTCACCAACACTTATCTTTTGTCTTTTTGATGACAGTCATTCTAACGGGTGTGAGGTGACATATTACAGTTCTGATTTCATTTCCCTAACGATTAGTGATGTTGAGCACCTTTTCATGTAACCTGTTGGCCCTTTGTGTGTCTTTGGGAAAATGTTATTTGCCTTTTGATAGTGAATCACACACATTCCTATATATTTTGGATATTAACCCCTTATCAGAAAGATGGTTTCCAAATATTTTCTCCCATTTGATAAGTTGACTTTTCATTTTGTTGGTTGTTTCTTTTGCTATGCTTTTGATTAGTGTTATAGGCCTAAATGCAAAGGCTGGTCGGGTTTTTTATTTAGTAATTTAAAAATAGTTTTAAATATATTTTATTTATTTTTTTTATTAATTAATTTTTGTTACAGATGTTTCTCCTTTTTCCCCCACTGATTCCCCCCTCTCCCTCCCTCCCTGCCCTTTCCCCAGTTTGTTGTCCATGTCCACTTTTAAACAAATTAAAAGGGCTCTTGGAAATTAGAGCTCATTGTTAGTTCTCTGATGTAATTCTGCTTAAGGAGGGAGACCTGGGAAAGGCTTTCCCTAAGGTCATTAACATTTTTCATCACTTTCTCTAAATAGACCTTATAAAAGTAGACAAAAGACCATATGTTGCCAAAGATACTGTGAAGTGGAAGATTTCAGTAGACAAGAGACAGAACCTGAATAAGAAAGACTTGATTTCTATCAGCCTTTGACTTGGGGAGGGGGGGTAGTAATTATTCACAAAGCAATTTCTAAGGCATCTTTCTCACCTTATTCTTGACATCAAAGTTATTGCAGGAGAGACAAGAAAACGGAGTAAAACTCAATCTCTGGACCATACTGGTGAGATTTTCTTTCTTCTAAAACTAATGTAAAAAGTGTGTGGAAAAGGGGAATTCAATCAAATTGCTATATTTTGAAAACATGTAATATGATTGCATGACTCTTATTCTCAGAAATAAGGGGAGAATAAAGTTATTAAGCTAATGATAATAAAGTGCATCTAGACATGTCTATGAGATAGGGCAGCATGACTGTAAATAAGAAAATGCCAGTAATTGCAAAGGCACTTGAGGCATCATCATGTGTGAAATGCTCAGAAAGTAGAGGAAGGAATTCTTTGAGACGAGTCTTGATTCGAAGAGAAAGAAGAATTCTTCTAGGACCTTATGGTATGGACAATGCAGGCACAATTCCCAGGCCTGTGTTTACATGCCCAGTTTCTTCTAGATGAGCACCAAACAATATAATTCACAGTTGTCAGAGACTGCTATTTGAGATCTCTTAAATTGAAGGGCTTTCTTGGTGAAAACTAATCTTTTTTTTATTATTAATTAAGAAGGAAAATTCAAAGGAGAATGAGCATGTAAAAGCAAGATGTGTTTGAGTCTGATTTGAATTGTTATTATTACTATTAATACCATCATCATCATCATCATTATCATCACTTTCTAAGAGAAGGCACGTCTGTAATGACTGCTCTACTTACTCTAATACACAGACCTGAGGAAAGCCATCCCTGTAGTTTCCCCAAAGCTGGACACACCAAGTGTTATATTGCTGCAAAGGGAGAGCTGAGAGCACTGAACTTGACAGATGTGGGAAGGTTGTGGCCTCAGATGGACAAAATCTCTAATGCATACCTAAGACCCTGTGTAATCCTGTCCTAACCTGTAACTACAGGGATCCTTCTCATCGGTGGTGCTGTTTAACGAATACCTTGGAAGTCTCTTTAGTCAAAACTATTCCACCCAACTTGCTCCACACCTACATTCCAGGGACCTCACTAGAGTACCTGAAATTCCACCACTGAAGAGTCATCTATTTAAAGTAAATATTGTCCTCTTTCTAAACCCCTTAAAGTACCTTTCAGGGATGATCTCTTCCAGAAACAATCAATTCATATTTATAATTATAATGCATAATTACTAATTATGTATAAGTACATAATTACAGTGGGAGACCTAATATAAACGAGCATAAGGATGCATGAAGAGAAGTAGATAACAGTGTGGTGGTTACCAGAGGGAAGGGGGTGGGTGGTAGTAAAGGGTACAGGAGGTCAAATACATGGTGACAGAAGATTTTACTTTGAGTGTTGAGCACACACTGCAATATACAGATCATGAACCATAGAAATGTACACTTGAAATCTGAAAAATCTTATAACCAATGTCACACTGGTGACATTGGTTTAATTTAATTTTTAAAAAATAATGCTTGAGGGAATGCTGGGATTAAGGTCAGAGTACCTCCTTCATTGTGTGTGTGTGTGTGTGTGTGTGTGTGTTTCAGTTAACAGACAAATGTTTATAATATCAGTCAAAGTAATTTCTGGGGAATCCTCAAAAACTGGGTTTGAAGACAGAGAAATTACCTGAGACTTCACTTCCCTTTCTTTCAGATCAACCGGGTCCTGATTTGTCTCCAGTGGTTTCTTTCATTGCTTTATCTTCTTTTATCTCTGACTCCTTATCAGGATTTTAAGACTATTCTAGGCTGACAGAAGAGATTAAATCATGGTAAAAATAACTGTTCATATGATCAGTGGCAGTGAAATTAAAACCTTCTCATTTCACAAATGGGATAACAGAAGCCCCATGACGCGAAATGATGTGTCTGGAGTTACAGCACCATTATCTCAGAATCAGGTTTGTATAATTTTGGTCCTCTTTCTACTACACCACATTCATAGCCTTATCTTGACTATAAGAGCATGATATTATATAGGAGACCATAAATTTCTACACACAAAGATTACTGTTTCATAAGAAGAACAAGACGCAGGGGTCGTCCTTTCTCAACGGCATGCAACACGCATGGCAGGGTGTACTCAGGAGAGGAAATGAGGGCAAGCATTTTTGTTTCCGTGTCAAAAATAAGACAAACTTTCCCAGATATATCAGTGTTACCATATCCCCAAGCACAAAATTTATTTCAAAATTAGGTTGAATGCCTTCTACAGAATAAGAAGTAAGTAAATTTTTAGAAACAAATCAGAAGGAAACTTAATGAAAGGAGAGGGAGGTGAGGCTCTTGGTTAAATTGGCATTCCCTCCACGGATTTTGTTTCCTCATCTAAACTGAAGGAATGGACTTCCATATCCAGGAAGGATGCTCAGGATGTGCACGCTCCATAATCTTCACGGAGGCCTGCCAAGCAGCAGTAAGTACCCATTTTCCTATTTTCAACTGTGAGTGTTTGTTTGAGTTAGAAATAAATATTGTTGGTGGCTGTGATGTTTTTCTTTCAGATAATTTCATTGTCTCTTGGGAACTTGACCTGCTTGACTAATTCCATGGAAAAAATAAACAATGTAACTGAATTTGTTTTCTGGGGTCTTTCTCAAAACCTAGAGGTAGAAGAAGCTTGTTGCGTGGTATTTTCTCTCTTCTACGTGGTCATTCTGCTGGGAAACCTCTTCATCATGCTAATAGTTTACGTGGGCAAACTTTTCAAGTCTCCTATGTATTTCTTTCTCAGCGGCTTGTCTTTTGTGGACATCTGTTACTCTTCAGCCACAACACCTAAGATGATTGTGGACCTGTTAGCCACCAGCAAAACTATCTCTTATGAAGGGTGCATGTTGCAGCTGTTTGTAGTACATTTCTTTGGCTGCACGGAGATCTTCATCCTTACTGTAATGGCCTATGATCGTTATGTGGCTATCTGTAAACCTCTGCACTATACAACTATCATGGACCAGGACAGATGCAATAAAATGTTGCTGGGGACCTGGTTAGGAGGATTCCTACACTCCATTATCCAAGTGGCCCTGGTAGTCCAACTACCCTTCTGTGGGCCCAATGAGATCGATCACTACTTCTGTGATGTCCACCCTGTGCTGAAACTTGCCTGCACAGATACATATGTTGTTAGTGCTGTTGTGACAGCCAACACTGGTAGCATCACTCTGGGAAGCTTTGTTATCCTGCTAATCTCCTATACGGTCATCCTGGTGTCCCTGAGAAAGCAGTCGGCGGAAGGCAGGTGCAAAGCTCTCTCCACCTGTGGCTCCCACATTGCCGTGGTCATCATCTTTTTTGGCCCCTGTACATTCATGTACATGCGCCCTGATACTACCTTTCCAGAAGACAAGATGGTGGCTGTGTTTTACACCATTGTCACCCCCATGTTGAATCCGCTGATTTATACAATGAGAAATGCAGAAGTAAAGAATGTAATGAGGAAACTATGGGGCAGGAGGGTTTTCTGGGAAGCTAATGATAACAGTTGGAAGTAACCATTTAAGCTGGTTGATCTTAAATTTTCTCATCTGTACAATGAAGACAATAAAAGCAACCTCATGGGGTTTGGGGGAGGAAAAATGAGAGAATAACACATTCTACAAAAGTAAGGTACAATTTATCGTTACTGTTATTATATTTGTTCTAATGTTTCATAATCATAATTTTCTGAAATATTTAGACCAGAGAAATCTTATTTAAACTCAGAAGCTCACCATGATTATACTCAGCACCACTATTTTCTCTCCATTTTTGCCATTTTATTTCAAGAAAGAGAGTTTATTGTAAAGTTCTTTAGGCTGTTTTCTAGTGTTTAGAACTGTAATTGGTACATGCTAAGCACTCACTATGTATATGTTGTGTGAATGAAAGGATGCATGGAAAATGACAGAGATCTGAACTAAAGTGTTTTTATGTAAGTCCTCCAAAACAGAGTGAAAATTAAACCGAATAATGTTGGAATGGAGAAGTGTCTGCAGAAGGTAAAAGAGATGAAACACAGGCTTGAAAAATGAAAGGCTTGGGCCCTGGCCAGGTAGCTTAGTTGGTTAGAGTGTGGCCCCATAGGCCAAGGTTGCAGTTCAGTTCAGTCTTGGTCAGGGCTGATACAGGAAGCAGCCAATCAATAAAATAATCTCTCTGTGTGTTCCCTCTCTCTCTCTCTCTCTCCCCACCCCCCTCAATCTTTCTCCTTTCCTCTTTCTAAAAAAATCAATTTCATCCTTTTAGTCTTCTGGTCTTGGAGAAATTTTTTCCTTTCTCTAGGACTCATTTTCTTTACCCAAACAATTAAGAAATAATTTTTTTTTTTATCCTCACCCAAGGACATTTTTCCACATATATTTAGATGGGGCGGGGGAAAGAGAAACATCAATGTGAGAGAGACACAATGATCGGTTGCCTCCCACACAACCCTGACCAGGGCCGGGGACCAAACCACAACCAAGGTACATGCCCTTGACCGAAATCAAACCTTCAACTTTTTGGTCTGTGGGCTGATGCTCTTACCCACTGAGCCAAACCGGCCAGGGCAGAAATAAATTGTTTGATTACCTCTAAGATTCCTCTTTTAATTGTAACATCCCATGAATATGTTTCTACTGACTTTAATCTTACTTACAGTCTGTAGCCTGCTATCCTATTCATGTAAAGTGACTAAAAGGAAAAAACTAAAGAAACTGAATAAAAATGAAGCCATTGTGAAGAACAGGTAACAGTGACTCAGCTGACAGGGAAGCACAATTGGCCAAAATGCATGGCTGGGAACTGCATTTTCTCCAGGGTTTGAACCAAGCAGCTCTACCAGAACCTGGTTTCCAGCTATGGATTCCAGACTCATTCTGACAAACAGACACGTCTTTCTTATGTGAACTGATACTTGCCCTGTTGCTACATTTCTTTTCTTCTTTGTTTTGTTTTGTTTTTGTTTTTTTTAATTTTTTATTTATTTTTTTGTTACAGATGTTTCTCCTTTTTCACCCCATTGGCACCCCTCTCCCCACCCCACCCCTGTCCCATCCCTGGCTTTGTTGTCCATGTCCATTGGTCATGCATACATGCATATAAGTTCTGTGGTTTAGCTCCTCCCACCCACCCCCTCTTCTGAAGGATGTCAGTCTGTGCCCTACTTCCATGTTTCTGGGTCTACCGTATTCCTCAGACTGTTGTGTTCATTATATCCCATATATAAGTGAGATCATGTGGTATTTGTCTTTTTCTGCTTGGCTTATTTCGCTTAGGATAAAACTTTCCAGGTCCCTCCATGTCATCTCAAAGGATAAGAGATCTTTCTTTCTTAATGCTGCATAGTACTCCATTGTGTATATGTACCAAAGCTTTTTTATCCATTCGTCTACTGATGGACACTTGGGTTGTTTCCAGATTTTAGCTATTGTAAATAGTGCTGCTATGAACATAGGGGTACATATATTCTTCCTGATTGGTGTTTCAGGCTTCTTAGGGTATATTCCTAGAAGTGGGATCACTGGGTCAAATGGAAGTTCAATTTTTAATTTTTTGAGGTGACACCATATTGTTTTCCATAGTGGTTGCACCAGTCTGCATTCCCACCAGCAGTGTACTAGAGTCCCCTTTTCTCCACACCATCGCCAACATTTGTTGTTTGATGATTTGTTGATGGCGGCCATTCTGACAGGTGTGAGGTGATACCTCATTGTTGTTTTAATTTTCATCTCTCTGATAATTAGTGATGTTGAGCATTTCTTTATATGTCTCTTGGCCATTTGTATGTCCTGTTTGGAGAGGTGTCTATTCAGCTCCTCTGCCCATTTTTAAATTGAGTTCTTTGTCTTCCTTTTGTTGAGTTGTATGAGCACTCTGTATATATATTGGAAATTAACCCCTTATCTGATATATCATTGGCAATGATGTTCTCCCATACAGTGGGTTACCTTTCCATTTTGATGATTGTTTCTTTTGCTGTGCAGAAGCTTTTTAGTTTGATGTAGTCCCATGTGTTCATTTTTTCCCTTGGTTTCTGTTGCCTTAGGTGATGTATCAGGAAAATTCTGCTCCGTATGATGTCCGAAATTTTGTTGCCTACATTTTCTTTTAGAATTTTTATGGATTCACCGGTCACATTTAAGTCTTTTATCCATTTTGAGTTTATTTTTGTGTATTACATTTCTTCTTCACTCAAACTGAGCTTGATTTTTCTATAGCAAATGAACACATCATTAATTATCTTTGCAACTGTTTCAATGTCTTTCCCACAAATCTGATTATTTAAGTTACTGCCCATACCTGTGTATGTGTTAATGGTTGTAGAGAGTGTGTGTGTGTGTGTGTGTGTCTATGTTTGTGCATGTGTGAGCTATATGTGAAGTACCGTGCATAGTACTTTAAAAAATCATCTCTGATGTTGATGCATTCACAAAATTAAAGACAGGAAAGAGTGAAAGGCAGCAAGACATCTGAATTAAAAGCTATAATTAAGAAACCTTCATTCTGGAACCACATAAATCTCTGTTCAGTGCCCCAGCTTGGACATATACTCACTGGGACTCTGTGGAACTCCATTTGTCAATTTTAAAATGAATACTAGATTAGTGCTTCTCAACTTTGGCTGATCATTGGAATCATCTTAAGAGATTTTTGAAGAGATAATAGTATGTATTCTAAGAGTTTCCAATGCAGTAAGCCTGGTTAAAGGGTATATAAAAATCTGTATTTTTAGCTAGGTGTCTAGTAAATTTATGCAGTCCATGGCACATGTGGGCACTCAGATTTGGAAACACTGAGACTAGATAATACTTGATGTTCTAAAGCACAAGAGGGCTATGACTCAGTGAAATACAAAGAGCCCTACCTTTGGATAGATACCCTATCTGTTCTGCTAACCAACACAAAAGAAGCTAAACTTGAACTGAGTTTAGAAAACTATGGAAAAAATAAATGTTATCAATCTGATAACTTTTCTCTACAATACTCTGGGTTTTATATCTTTGTACTAAAGTCTTCACTATCAAGGAGTATTAGTGATATTAAAGGTATGAAGTCCCTAAGAAGGGAAAAACTGAGAGACTCCTCACTCTCAAAGACCAAGAAGTGAAACATATAAAATAGTATTCAAGTTTCCACTGGTGACTTTATAAACTTATTCTTGTTCACAAAAGTTCCTCAAAGTCCATTCCAACCAGAGGAGCTCAGAGAGTCTCCTCTTGGTTCCTTGGGAAGAGATGACCAAGAATTGAGATCTCAGACTCTGCCCAGTTTCAGTGGGGTTGAGTCTGGTCAACACTATTTTAATTCACAGAAGTATGATCACAACACTGACTGCCAGCTTTGTAGTTTTAAAACCTTGTTGTTACGAGATGGAACATATGACTGATTAGAGTCTTTACTGATGAAATTAATGACAACCCTTCTCATTTTCTAGATGAACAAATTAGTTTATTTCCTAGTGGAAAAAGTAAAAATACGTCTCCCTGTAACTCCTAATCAGTGGTTGTAGCATAAAATATTTTAAACGTTTCCATGCACTTTTCAATTGAATATGTCAAGACAGCTTTGATGTTTCTCCATATATCATCCCTTTTCTCATTTAAACATATCCAGGATATTAAATAATTTCTCACATGTCAGTCGCCAGAGTGGGAAAGCCTCATTTTGACAGTGTTCCAATGTGTCCAGCTCCTGCATGGTGACCAGCTGTGTTTTGGATTTTTTGTTTTGGTTTGGGTTTTTTTGTGTAATGCCACCTCATCACTTTATTCAAATCTTCAAAATTACCTTTATTCTACATTTTCAGTATAAAAAATTTGCAAGTGAAGTACACAACACTGAGAGCTAGCTACAACACTGAACCCCCATAAGTCAATGGTACAGAACGGATACAGAACACAAAATTTCAATTTCAGCAAAGACTAAGATAGCACTTGTGTTTTCCCATGTGAAAATAAGAGCTACATGGAGTACATCAAACCTACCCTGAGGTCTACACTTAAGCCCAGTAAAGCCCAACCTGGATCAACTAAACCCATTTACCCAAAGATACATGAACAGGAATTAAATGCTTGTTGTGTAAGCCAGAAGTTTTGAAATGGCTTGCTACATGGCATTATTGAACTGACTGATCCAATAATATGACCAAACTGTAGAAGTGGAAATCCAGAGACACATTCTTGAATTAATAAAACCTCAGTGTATTTACTATTTTGAAAGGAGCAGTAGGAAAAGCCATGGGCATGGAAGACAGCATGTAACCTTGGTTATGGACATAAAGCACAAATTCCCAATACCTGCCTGCACAGCCGGTCTCCTCCCACTATTATGTCCATGGACAACACGTAGGAAAAGAGGACATAATATTAACCACATTTGGTTAGATTCATTTTCACCCCTCTTTGGTTGATAAATTATAAGAAGAGAGTTTACAACAGATAAATATGAGCCATGTTCAAAAAAACTTCTAAATGGTCTGTCTTCTTTTGAAAGAAACCAAATAGCAAATTTGTCACAATAAGCAAGTTTAATT